ACAACATTTACATGTTGCCACCATGTATTTTTTAATTTACTTTGCAAAAAGAAAATCCCACATGTCCAAAAAATTTCATCATTTAAAATAAATATATATCTTCACCTGAAATGCAAAAGTGCGAAACAACACTTTTAAAAATTTTACTTAAAAAAAAAAAACTAAATAAAATGATTACTATTGTTGTTATAAAAAGGATATTTATGATCCAACATACATAAACACCTTTGAATATGACTATACCGCCAGACATTTTCTATTATGTTGATTTTTAGGATTTTCTGACTTGTGGAAATCACTAATATGTTGTTACGCCCTTTTGAATTTCATGTCTATAAAATCGGACTTTTTGACAATAGAGTTTTAAAAGTTTGCGACAACATGTATTTTGATGCCGTAAACCATTTTCAATCAAAAAGTTGATTTAAAATTTTTTTGATCATTTTTGCATTTCAGGTGACGATATATAAGAGGCAATTCATTCAAAATTATATATGGATTGAAAATAAAAATAAAATAATTTAATTATAAATTAAAATAACAAAAAATACGTATTAGATTACAGAATTTGTACTAATAAAACATACAAATTATATTCATATTGTTTTTATACATCAATATTGGGAACTATGTAGTAATACTATGTAGGGCTCCAAGTGTATAAGAAATATTTAATGATCTTTATAGAAATGTGACCAAATCATCAAAATACCACAGCACCACTTTATAGCGAATACTGTTCTAATAATTAAAAACTATCTTTAAAGTCAATTTGATGGAAAAAACTTCCCGCACAGAACGCAATTTCTAAAATACATTTCGCATAAATTTAGTACGCATAAGAATTAATATGCATATGCATCCACTAATGTAATTTAATGTAATTATTACTTTTTTCTTAAAGATTGCAATGAATTTTTAAAATTATACAGCGCTAATAGATATTATCATATATGAAGTTATTTACACATACATATGTGCTTAGAGTGCTCCAAAAAAACGAAGTTGCCTTCTCTAGAATTGTTCTTTGGGTTGTAAGCTATGTCACACAAAAAATTAGGCGGATAGGATAACGTTAACAGGTGCCGCAACGGCTCTGAAGTTTTCAAGTGCATTTACAAGGGGAAAATATCGATTTTTGCAGGTTTTGCTCAACTTAGGCCATTTAGTAATACATTTTGAACTTTATTGTAAAGGATTCGTAATGTGCACAGAATAAGCATTTCGGAAGGATATAAAAAACAAAAATTGCTTGAAAACTTTAAAAGTTATTGCAAATTACCCAGGCCATTAACGTGTCCCACGGCAAATGAATTCGAAATGTGACAAAAATTTTTCTTTTTTGGGATACATTCTAAAAAAACATTTTGTTACTTAAAATATATCTATAACTACACGAATATTAGTTTTTGCCCTTATAAGATAACGCAAACTTCTTCTCAGCTATAGTCATTATTCAAGAGCATTATTCAAGTAGATAGTGTTTTTTCGAATTTTTTAGCTTTGGTGTTAAATTATTCTCAAGTACCTTAATCTACCTTTCTTTCACTCTATTTTAAATATCGGACTATATACGATAAATTCCAGTCATTTTTGGTAAAGATGGCCGACAAATAAATATTATTTCGATATGGTACACTAAGAATTTCCAAATATTGCAAAATTTGACCTTTGAACTCCACAGTTTATGGGTTAAGAATGTCCGATTTTAATAAAACTTCGGATATATATTTTGTATTATCTAGACTATAATACTCTGATAATAATTTATTTAAAATGTGCAACAGTAAAGAATTAATACGTATTCTCTAAAATATTACAAAAAAATGCGATTTTCCTGAAATCCGCCGAGTTCAAATCGCAGGTATAGCTAAACTGTAAGAAATATTGATCAAATTTTTTTACCGTTTAATAGCTTCATCTATTGGCCAAAAATCCCCATGAGATCTCCTAACATTTTTGAAATTTGTTTAACAAAGATTCAAAAAAGATGAAATTGGAGATTTGAAACGGCCGTTGAAAAAATCAAACTTTTTTGACCATAGCTGAGAAGAAGTTTGCGTTATCTTTTAAGGGCAAAAACTGATATTCGAGTAATTATAGATATATATTAAGTAACAAAATGATTTTTTAGAATATATCAAAAAAAAAGTAAATTTTTTGTCACATTTCGAATTTATGTGATGTGAGACACGTTAATGGCCTGGGGAATTTGCAATAACTTTTAAAATTTTCAAGTTATTTTTGTGTTTTATATCTTTCCGAAATGCCTACTCTGCCAAATTTGAGCAAAACTGGAAAAAATCAATATTTTCCCCTAGTAAATGCACTTGGAAACTTCAGAGCCGTTGCGGCACCTGTTAACGTTATCCCATCAGCCTAATTTTTTGTATGACATAGTTTTACAACCCATAGAACAATTCTAAAGGTGGAAACGGCCTGTCAGACAAAAATGTTTTGTCCTTCGTACAAGCTTGAATCACTCTAATGTACATATACAGTGAATCAATTAAGTAATTTGCCTATGTAAAAAAACTTTGTCTGAACAATTATTTTTTTCAAAGTTAAGCAATTTGTTTGTTGTGTTTTTTAAAGAATATCTTTTATTTTAATTTTCTACCAAAAAAGTAAAATCTTGATATTAACTAACGAGATTTTTTATAAAATGTGAACGTATTGTTAATTTTTTAGGTCAATAAAGTATTTTGCTTTTTAGGTTTTTTGTTTATTTTTTTAATATTGCTGTATATTTTTATACAATTTTACATTTTTATTACTCCTGTATATTAAAATATTTTTTTTAGATATTTAAGTAGTGGTACGTGTGTCTAATTGTATCTTATTCATGTTTGTAGTCAGCATCTTATGTATTAATGAAATTATCTGTAAAATTGATTTAAGTTGCCTATTTTAACATATATATTTGCTAGTCTACCAACTATATATGGCCCTATGGGTTCGGTTTGTTTTTCCTAAATAAATAATATAAATTTTAATAAAAAATTAATTTTTATTTATTAATTTTAAATAAAAATAGGCCCTAATAAAATAATTAATCCCCAGATGGATGCATATATGTTTTCGTATTATGGCAACTCTGAATGGTGTACTTTGACAGTAGTGTAAGGCCTTCAGCAAGGCGAATTCAGATAAGGTGGTGTTCTTCAATCAGCTGATAATTTTTTTCTTAATTCGCCTGGTTTACGTAGCTGTCAAAGTTTGTTATTGTTTACATTTTTATATTTAAAAATGTCCGTTAAACGGAGAAAAACTTCGTTAATATTTTTAATTATTTATGTAAAAAATCTAAAAATACCAAGCATCTCGTAAACAAATATCATTTTATTTAAATAATGGCATAATTGGTATGTATACAAATATGTTATTTAAGAAAAATATTTTTTCTATTAAATGTTAACATATTACACAATATTGTTTTATATTTTATATTAAAATTGTGTAGATAACGTGATTAACTAAAAAAATCTCTTCCGGAACACTTAATATTAAGAAACGCATATGAAGTATTTACCCGGCTGGCGGCAGCTGACTTCTACGTTATGGCTTAATTTTGAAATCTATTAAATGTTAACAAATTAAACAATATTGTTTTATATATACAGTATGTAGATAAAGAGATTAACTAAAAAAAGTCTGTTCCGGAACGCTTTATATAACAAAACCCATATGAGGTATTTACCCGTCCGGCGTCTGCTACATTATGGCCAAATATTGAAAATTACTCCGCCGGAGTAGAATTATCTATTCGCAACAAATATTCATTCATTCGTAATATAATATTTTCATGAATATGTACTTTTTTATGTTTATTTTTCACAAAAAATTAAGTTTTACTTAACTTCAAGCATTCACTTAAAATTTGCAAATTAATCTGCCGGAATAGAATTTATCGTTTGAAACAAACATTATTCAATTCAGAATATATTTTCCTCACAAATTTTAATATCTTTATCTTTATTTTTTAATAAAATATAAACTTTTTACAAAAATTTTTCATCAAATGAATTCGCCGTACTTATGGTCTTTGACATCTACGTAAACCAAATGCAAAAACAAAATACATGTAAAATGTTGTTGTTGCAGAACTGCCACCACCTTATCTGAATTCGCCTTGAAAATCCGAAAAAATATGTACATCTATCTAGGGATTCATTATATTTTTAGGACAACAAATTAATAAATAAATTTTATATTCATTTTAATCCGTAGTAAATTTATGCGAAATACTCAAAAATTGCACAAACTATTTGTTTTAAATATGCATCTATTTTATCAATTATAGGGAACTTTTTACTAATCAATTGAGAGTACAAACATCCCACAATTGTAAGTAAAATTATTAAATTTGATTTTATCATAGATATATTAATTTTTAACAACTTTCCATGGTAGTGGTTTGGTCACATTTCTATAAAGATCATTATATAGTTCTTATACGACAATAGTAGAGACCTACACGGTATTATAAGTTCCCAATATTGACTGATAAAAAAATAGTATGTATATAATTTGTATTTATGCTACTTCATACTTACAATTTTGTAATCTAATATTAATTTTTTGTTATTTTAATTGATAATTTATTTACTTTTTTAATAAGTAAATAATAAATAATATTCTAACCCCTTATTCACAAACAATATTTTTATTTTATTAAAGGTTTATAAAACAAAATTTCCATACAAAATACCGTTTATAAAATAAAAATTTTGTTTGTGAATAAGGGTTCTTACCCTTATTTTTCAATTCATGTATAATTTTTAATAAATTTTATCTTATAATACATATTTACTTACGTGAAGAGATTTTTGGGCATGTGGGATTGTCTTTTTGTAAGGTAAATTAAAAAAACACGGTGGCAACATGTAAATTTTTTGACAGAAGTATCTACTTTTGTTGTTTTTGTAGAATTGACTTCACCTTATAAGTGCACCCTGGCCACCACCTTATCTGAATTCGCCTTGCTGAAAACTGTGCATGTTTAAGCCGCCGGCGGAATTTTGAATGTCAGGCACCGACGTTAATGTGTGTCGGCATAGGTATTTATAGCAAAATAAATATTAAATAATAACAAGATTATTAAAATAGCCGAATTATAAATATAACTCATTAATAAACTCAAGAACTTACAACATTTTTGGTAAATTTAAATTAATCCAATGATATGTGTTATAAAATTATACCAAAAAAGAACAATACAACACAATAAAAAAATATAGCAAAATTTCGTCAAAAGCATGTGATTTCCAATATAATATTACATCAGATCTTTTGTTGTTCTGATATATCAAATAAAAATTATTTCGTATTTTCATGTGCGGCAAACACAACATACACTGGATATGATATATTTCAGTAATAACGCTTCAAATATAAAAAGTATTTGCTCTTATATTAATGTTTCCAAACATCAAAACCTGCAGAAACGAAAATAATTGCCGCAAATAAGCGGGAGTAGTTTTTGCTATAAACATAAGTTTTGTGTGCCCAAAATCAACTAACATGGACGAAGTATTCTCATTGCATACTGAGAAATTCGACTTATATGATGGTATGTTTTATTTGTTTTTATTAATGCAAACAAAGATTTATAAATCTATGTATGTGTATCAAAATAGCCGTAATATTTAAGATAGTTTTATAATATTATTTTGAGATGTAAATTTCCCATATTTATTGCAACCTATTTTTGTACTTAACTAATTTTGGTATATGCAGTGGGTTACAAAACAATGGAAACTTTTTCTAAATTTTCATAAACGGACATTATTAAACATTTTTATTTTCTTAGTATTTTGTATGTACCTATATATCCTTATTTACTTAAATTAATAAAAATCTATGAAAATATTTAATTAAATATTGAAAAAATAACACAAGATTAAAGTATTTCTTTTTCTGTTACTGACAAAATAATGGAAACTTTGGCGTTATCGTAACAAAAACGGTAACAAAAACGAACATGTCAGTAACTCAGAATATAGTTCGTCTTTCAAATGACACCAATTTCTACACAAACATCTTCGAACTACTATTTCCCATAGATTTTCTGTGGATCTTTATCTTATACCACACATAGTATCTTTTTATACCCTCCACCACCACGAGTGGTAATAGAGTGTAACACCAAGAAATATTCATCTGAGATATTCTTGGTCCTTTTGAAATTCTAAGTTGTTCTATGTCTGTCTGCCCGTCTGTCTGTGTAAAACACGCTCACGTAAAAAGGAAGTGAAATAAATTATTAAAATTTGGTCAGAATATACCCTATTATAATATGCAGTTTGGTACTGAACCCCACAGAAAATTTTCAGAGTACTCGGAATTGTAACCAATGTTGTGTGCTTTACTTTGTGTTACTTATAATTTGATTTACTTGTATATAAAATCTGGATATGAAGTTTTGGTTTTTAATAAATTTTTTTGCATTACATCTTAATATACTTGAGATTAACATTGTATATGAGAACAGAAAATTAAAATATAAAACAAGTAAGAGTGTTATATTCGGCTATGCCGAATCTTATATACCCACCATCAAACCTCGCTTGACTAGAATGAAACTTACTTATGTCGAATTTCATCTATATACTCGTATTTTTTAGGCGTTAAAGTAATTTTCTGAAGGGGACCTTATATAGGGGGTAGTGTCAATTATGGGTCGATCCTAATATAATTTGGTAGACAGAATTTGTTTCGTATTAAATTTATTTGTGTCGAATTTCATCGCTACACTCGTATTTTTAAGCCATTAATGAGCGTTGCAGTCATTTTCTAAAGAGGACCTTATATGGGGGGTAGGGTCAATCATGGATCGATCCTCATAAAATTTTTTAGATAGATTTGGACTCGTATGAAACTTACTTATGTCGAATTTAATCTATATACTAGTATTTTTAAGCCAGTAATGAGCGTTAAAGTCATTTTCTAAAGGGGACCTTATATGGGGGGTAGGGTCAATTGTGGACCGATCCTCATAAAATTTTGCATAATGATTTTGGATCATAAGAAACTTACTTATGTCGAATTTTATCGCTATATTCATATTTTTAAACAAGTTATGGCTGTTAAAGCTGCTTTTCGAGGGGCCACTTGTATGGGGGCTATAAGAAAATGTGGACCGATATTGCCCATTTTCAATACCAAACAAACCTTACCTGTAAAAAATATTTATGTGAAATTTCAACCCTCTAGCTCTTTCCATTGGGACTCTATCGTGCAGACAGACAGACAGACGGACGGACAGACGGACAGACATGGCTAGATCGACTTAGAATTTAATGAGGACCCGGAATATATATACTTTTGTGGGTCTATGACCAATATTTCGATGTGTTACAAACGGAATGACAAAATCAATATACCCCCATCTTTTTTGATGGTGGGTATAAAAATCAAGTGTGCTGTAATTTAATCAACAAAAAATTTTTCATTTATCGAAAAATATTTTTTGGATCAACATTTTTTCAATGTTTAGATGAATTTTAAGCAAAATTTGTTGCTTAAAATTAGGATCATGATCTAGTGATGATTGGAATGGCCTTATACTTATGAATGAATTTGTAGATACATGTATTTGGGTAGCATTTTTTAAAAAAACATACATATTTAGATACTTCTTAATACACATGTATTTTAACTAGAAAGTTGTTGTAGATACTTTTTGAAACACTTGTGTTCCAGCTAGGAAGGTGCTGTAGAAACAATTTTACTTACTAGGTATATCGGTAAGAATGTAGGAATAGCTACTTTTCCACACACAAGTATATTATAAAGAAAGTATAATCTACACACAATATAGCAAACCAAGTATATCAGTTAGTGTGTCATTTTCAAGCGGCCATACCCTATGTAAAGTAAGCCAGAGTGTGTGTAAGTTTGTAAGCACATTCGAATACAAAATAAGCAACACAATATCAATGTAGTAAGCTATAAATTTTCTGTTGGGAAAATGAGCAAAAAAATTTCAAAATTTTTTCATGATCGGTTCATATTTGGTCAAAGCTCCCATACAAGGTTCCCTTCCGAAAATCACTTTAACGGACATAACTCATTACTAAATATTGATATCGATACATTTAGCACAAATACTGCTCTTATATACATATTTGGTCATAGCTCCCAAACAATGTCACCTCCAGAAAATCACTTGAATGCACAATATTCATTACCAAATAATGAGATAGATACAGAATTTAGCCAAAATTTTGTCTTTATATACATTAATGTTACTGTGGAATTTTTTACGATCGGACCATAATTGGTCATTGCTCCCATACAAGGTCCTCTTACGAAAATCTCTTCAAAGCACATTACTCATTGCCAAATAAAGCTATTGATCCAAAATTTTGCACAAATATTCACGATCGGTTCATAATATGGCTGCGATCGGTCCCATACAAGGTTCCGTTTCAAAATTCACTTAAACACACATTACTTATTACTAAATTACGCTATATAGATATAAAATTTGACAGAAATATAGCTTTTATATACAGAAATGGTACTTAAAGATTTTTTTTACGATCGGTCCATAATCTTGCAATTGTAACAGATTTAAGCTGTTTAAATCTTGAGTTTTTTCTATTTAAGATATGAGAAAACATATTTCTACAAATATTTGATCAATTAAAAAAGTATTAATATAAAAGTTGCTGGTGGAGGGTATTTAATATAGCACTCTAACTTGTTAAAATTGAATTCGACCAATACTTTGCCCTGATACCATAATTTTGCCACCGCTGAACTTAATATTTTTCGGGTCCAGTATGAAATTTTTTAATATTTTTGAAAGTGTTGATTTATTCATTAAATATGTATCGCAGATCAGCAAATATTAGGTAAAGCATTAAAAGAAGTATTAAAATTGTTAATTATTTTGGTTTTTAAATCTTAAATCTAGCCATTTTAATTGATGATATAAAAAATTAATTTTGCTAAAAAATTAATATGATGTTCTATTTTAAAAAATCTACTTTTACCTTACGAATTATAATATTACACCCAGTAACAATTTAAAAAAATCTTTTACCCGTCAAAAGTTGATATGCATATGAAACTAGAGTCCATTTAGAGAAATTCTGCGTACTCCAATTTTTGTAATCAGCTCTTATGTCCTTATAAACGGACTTCAAAGTTGAAAGAACTTACAATGGAAGCTTAAAGAAAATTTGCTACAAAGCTTCCATTTCTTTTTTAATCCTGATGAAATGAAATAAATAATATTATTTTGAAGCAGAGATTCTCAGCTTCTTTTGATGTTAACACCAAATATTTTATATAAATTTGGAATTCCATGTTTTGAAATCGTATGTCCTTTAAACATTAAGGTCCTTTTACAGAAGTATAGAGCTGATTATGAAAAACTGCGTACTCAGAGTTAATACTAATGGTCCACAGTTTCCTGTACACATAGTTTTTTCATGTGTGAAAATGACTATTGCACGGTGTTATATATCGTCGAGAACTAATTTACGAGTTTTTAAGACAAAGTAATGGCAACAAGTGTCAAAATCCACAGTTAACTTGAAAGGAAAATTAAATATATAAATTTTTTTTATTTTTAAAAACGTTAAAGGTAAGAAAATAACACAAATGTCCAAAAGTGCGCATAATTATTATATATCCGTTAAAATAGGGGATGTCTAGAATTATATTCTTTTTTACATTTTGCGGATTTTTGCGCTTTTTGATTTTTTATTTATATAAACATAGATTTTTTTCAACCTGATTTATTTAATTGAAAGGATTTAAATCTTGATTGTACTACTCTCAATAATTTTTTTTGAAATTATTTTACAATTCTTTTTACAATTAATTAATTTTTTAAATATTTGCTATATAAATATATTTTTTATGTATACCTATCTTTTAAGCAGAAATAACCGATTATGGCCAATAGGCTGGGTTTAATCAAATTAAAGTAAATAATTTATTTCTATAAGGTCATTTTTTTTTTAATTGCTAAAAAGTATAAATTAATTAATACTGAATTTTAAAATATTTTTTAGAGATGTCATCTTTTTTGTACTTTATTTAGTATAAAATAACTTCTTTGAGTAAAATTTCGGTTAAAGCTCTGATACACGGTTGTCAGATCTTACAACGTTGTCAGTAAAATGTGCAGAAAATGTCCAACAATCAAGTGAACTTGCAATTTTTCTTTTGCAACGTTGTCAGAAAAAGCATTACTGAAAATATTGCAAGATAAAATTTGTAAATTGACACCGTTGTTAGACATTTTCTGCACATTTTACTGCCAACGTTGTAAGATCTAACGACCGTGTATACATAGCTTTACAATCATTGTTTTATATGGTTTTTGAAATATATGTATTATGATGTCTAAGCTCTAAAATAGAAAATTTAAGTACACATACATAAGTATTACCCAGCAAACATTCGATTTAAGTTTCAGTCAGAATATTAAAACTAATGAACATACAACTGCGAATTATATAAAAAGAATTTAAAATTTTGCATTATTTGCAAAATTATTCACAAATTTATATCAGATAGAGCTTTTTTTACGAAAATGTTCATACAACCAAC